AGAGAGAGAGAGAGAGAGAGAGAGAGAGAGAGAGAGAGAGAGAGAGACATATAGAGAGAGAGAGAGCTATATAGAGACAAAGAAAGAGAGAGAGCTATATATATAGAGAGAGAGCTATATAGAGATAGAGAGAGAGAGAGAAAAAGAGAGAGAGCGCTATATATATATATAGAGAGAGAGAGAGAAAGACAGAGACAGAGCCAAATATCGAGAGAGAGAGGGGGAGAGAGACAGAGAGGTATTAGAAAGGGAGATAGAATGAGAGAGAGAACACACCTTTTCGTTCCTTGATTTATAAGTGTTGTTGGAAACAATGGCCCCGGCGACTTGGTCGCTGATCTCAAACCGCAATATGACGACGCGTGTTGCGACGCCCGAAAAAGGAGGTGCCGACGCGTGAGAGGGCAACACCGCGAATGGAGACGTGGGAGATTTGCGACGCGAAGGAGATGGCGAGGCGAGGGATATGGCGACGAGGGAGAGAGAGAGAAGCGAGGTAGACGGCGGGGGAGACAGCGACGAGATGGATGTGTCGCTGGCAAGGGCAGGTGGTCCGGGCGCGCGACGGGCATTGTCGGCCGTGAGGGTTGGCGACACCTTCGATTGCCTGCTGCTTCGGACGATTGCAATGGCCACCTACAAATTCGCGGAATGGCGCCACCTTCATTCGGATGGCGGATACATCCGCTCGGGAACCAAGAAACGAAAGTGGGCAGGAAACGTCACGCCGGATGACATTTTGGAACCGTCGATATCACAGTAAAATCCGCGCGGGCCCCAATAATCAAAAGTGGGCGGGAAAATTTGCGCCAGATGATGTGTTGGAACCGTCGATAGCACGGTGAAAAAAGGCTAGACCTCTCGAAATCACGGCCCGCCCTCCCGCGATAGTTTCGGATCGGGCGATTTCGTGAGGACGGTCCGTCAAAAAAGGGACCGCCTGATGTCACAGCCCCCGACGCGGCAGTCCGCCGTTACTGACCCTGCGGCGGGCAGCTGAAGGGCCCCTCAAGCCCCACTCACTACACTCACCGTTCCCCTGTCGGGCACCAAACGAATGGGGGTGGCTGTCACACCCATTCGCTGGTGTCATTTCTTCCGTGTGCTGCCGCTGCGACGCATCCGCCATCGCTTGAAGTCGCCGCCATCATATCGAAGGCCCCTTGCGCATCCAGGCCTTCGTTCTTTCAGCAATCGTCGATAGCGGGGGGCGCTAACGAAAACGTCACGCGACTGTAGACCTTGCGCGTCGTCCCGTTCGCGCCGTGCTCTTCTTGTGTCGGTTGGAGGAGTTTGTCGACTCGCAGGTCAGTAAGAAGCCCACGCCCCCTGCTCGGCCCCTTCACCATTTCAAGCCCCCACCTCTTTCCATTGCCCTTCCACTCCTTCGACCGTGCAAGTCTTGTTCTCTGCCACCACCTGCTCTGCCAATCACGTGCGCACAATCTTGAGCGCACGACGCCCACCGATCACAACCACGAAAGACCCCATGTAGTGACACACGCTGACGCCATCATCTTGCACATGACGTCAGCGACGGGCAATGGCTTGCGGCTTTCACAGTCAAGATCGTCGGACGCCTTCGACGACCACATCTGACGCGTGGAGAAAGTTGCATCGCCCTCGAGTCTTGGCGTCCTCAACATCGCTTGTTGGTACACTTTCTTGGACCCTGGATCGCGGGTCGTCTTACCCCAGTCTACTTACGATATCGCAATGCAGTTGGTCGTGCAAGTCTTCCTCTATATCACCACCGGCTCCGTCAATCACGCACGAGTCACCATGCGCGCGATCTTGAGTCCACGATGTCCGCAGCTCACAACCACGAAAGTTCCCTTCCACTGACACACGCTGACGTCACCATCTTGCGCATGACGTCAGGAATTCGAAATGGCTTGCGGCTTTCGAAGTCGAAATCGTTGGACGCCTCCGACGACGGCATCTGACGCGTGGACGAAGTTTCATCGCCATTGCTCCCTGGCGTCCTCAAGATCGCGTGTCGATCCACTTGATATCCCGTTTTACTATCGCCGGTTTTCACGTCTTTCGGATGTTCTCCCACAGTTGTGGCGGTATGTGATCACCGCTGCGATAACACATCACCCGCTAGACGTCAACACCAGAGACGTCATCTGAAAAACGCGTGCCGATCGACTTTCAGATCCCGTCCATCCATCTCCGGTGTTGACGTCTATCGGATGATGTGTTATCACAGCGCTGATCACATCATCCCATGTCCCCAATAGCGGAGCGCTGTGCTGGAAGCCTCACGACAAACGTGCACCTCCAACAGGAATCGCCCGTGTCGCACGCACAGCCAACAGTGGCGAAGCCACCCATCCACAACGTTCACCGACGACCCGTTGCGCACAACGGACACCCATGGCGAATCCGAAACATCCCAGATTACCGCCGATCCCTCGACATCCCACCGCCAAGGGCCAACTTCGAGCTCGTTTCCGATCGACTTGGTGATTGAACATGTCTATCGCGGTTGTGGATGACATCAGTATCTTTTTCTGATTGTCTTGAACGTTCCCTGTCTATCGCGGTTGTGGAACAATTGCGCGAACCACTCATATGCGAAGGCTCACAGAACATATCCAAGACTCATCGCCCGTTCTCGCACACGCAGCTAGCAATGCGAAACCGCCACGCAACCGGGCGTGAGACGCCGGACACGCATCGACAACATTTTGGATATGGAACTAGCGCATACAAGTTTCATCGCACCCACAAGAAAACGTCACAGCACCGCCGCCCGTGCGGCAGCCCGTCCCCTCGCCCGTGCGGGAATGCAGCGGGAGCGAGAGAGTGCTGTTCGTGCCACTTGTTCCGGATGGAGTTCGGATTCATCCGAGCTCGGGATGAAGGCAATAGTAGATGTCATTCTCGATGCCAGTGGTTGGATGATTATGCCCCCCTTACGTCCGACCCATTGTTTTCACACAACGTCCCCCCATCGAGAGTTTTTAGGCGACCCCCTGTCCATGACAACTTCCCACTCATGACTTTTGTTGGCGTTCTTTGTCTCCCACGAGGGGTTATGCAACTCTCAAGCTGGACGTTTTTGTTCCGCCTCACTACGGAACGTGTGATGTAGTTCGGATGAATCCGAACCACAACCCTCGGCTCGTGGGAAGTCTCAACGGGAACCTCATCCCTCCGATGTCTCAGTGGAAGGGACAACGGCGCCACAGGGGTTCGCTTTCGAAGTAAACATCTCCACAAATCATGACTCCGATAGCTCCCCATCTGCTTTTGCCTTCGTTTGTAGCTCGGATGAATCCGAACCACAACCACAGACGACTGACGGACAACAGTCGTGGCTTTTGTCAGTGTTTATTTCTTCCGCATTGGGTAGTGCAACACTCACACAGGAGTTATCAGTTCCGCGTCACTCCTAAACCTGTGATGTAGTTCGGAATAATCTGAACCACATC